CGTCTGCCCCAGCCTGGAGACGAGACGCCCCTCCGCCCTGAGGGGAGGAGGCGGCGAGCTGAGGAAAGCCCCGAGAGAAGCGAAGTGCTTACAGTTCGCAGGAACTGTATCTCGTCCTCGCCTTCGGCCACTTCAGCCATGGCTGGCGCCTCTGTCTCGCGTCTTGCCTCCCGGGCTCCGCTGCCTCCGTGGCCCGGGCTGGCAGGTGCCGAGGCGGCAGAAGCACGATGAGGCACCCCCGCGGCAAAGGAGCAGAAGTGGAGGGACGAGGAGGAGGAGGAGGAGGCGGCGGAGGCGGTGGCGGCGTCTGCAATTGAGCGAGCTGCTCCCACGCCGAGCTGGATGGAGCGCTAGGGAAAGAAAGTGAGAGCGACCCGGAGCCAGCAGCTCCTGCCCGGCTCTGACCCGACGTGCCGCTCCTTCTCTGCAGCAAATTGGCAGCCCGGCTCAGCCCCGGTTTCCCTCGTGCGACCGCATGGGGGGGGGTGAAGCGGAGAGGGGAGGGCTGTGATTAACAGGGGCAGCGGGGGAGGAGCTCCTCCGCGGCTCCCCCAGTACTGCAGGTGATTCTGCAGCCGGCTCCCTCTGCAAAGCGAAGCGACGCTAACCGAACCTGAGCCGCAGCGCCGCTCTCCGGCCGCTCGCGCAACTGGGGGGGGGGGAGAGAGAGACAGGGTCGCGCGCGCTTGATTGCTCGCTCCCTCGCTCGCGTGCTTCTCCGGCCTCTCCCCTTCACACCCTGCGCGGCGGAGGCGGGTAGGACAGACACGCCAGGCGCAGAGAAGGACTGCATGTTTACGTGCAGAGGGAGAGACAGCGAGAGGGACAGGCAGGCAGGCAGGCGGGAAACCAGCGCGATGGAGTGGTGGTCCTTAATGAGGGGAGCCCAGTTAGCAAGGCGAGGAAGGAGAGGCGGACACACACCCTTGTGTGGCACTTTTGCCACTTAGGTTTGCTCTGGTTGTGTGTTCCTGGCGGTGGTCCCACGTCTGACAGGGATACCCTGAGAACAGGTGAGGCTTTCTCCTTTTCCTGCCCCTTCCTGCTGGGGAAGAGTTTGACCTGTTGTAGAGCTGCTTGCCCTCTAAACTATTAAGCGACAAACGCTCTGCGAGGGAGGGGGCTACCAGACGCTCTATAATATTTTAATTCTTCTAGCCGTTTTTCATTTGTTTTTGGTAAGAAAGTCTTCCATCTTTTTCTTGGAGATACTTCCCTAGGAAGGGAGGGGAGGAGACAGGAGATGCTGCCTCAGGAATTTGTCATGAGTCCTGCAAGCTAATCAGATGTTTGAGTAATCAGAAATCCAGATTTCCCAGCCCTCATGGGTGGGAAATGGTAAGATTCCTCCTCGCCTGCCTTGCCCCTATTCAGTTGCATCTTCCAAACGGCTATCCAAAGATACCACCTCTCAGCCCTCTTGGAAATTAGTTGCCACTGTTGAAATTGATATGGTGCCCAACAAGAGTTCACAGTTGTGCAAGACAACCCAGAACAGAACGGCAGTGATTTTTTTTTGAAAAAAAGGAAAAACATGGTAGCTGTTGTGTGTTGTATCTCAAGAGTCTTCTCAGTAAATATTCGTTATAGTGCTAGAGTCCTCTGGCAGTAGTATCAGCATCAAAGGTCTCAATGTAACACAGTTGAACCACTGTTTGTTCTACAGACATGTATTGCCTGCCTTACAAAATAAACAACAATTTGTTCATCTTTCAGTGGTTTTTGAGATGACTGTGCATAAATTTTGCTAGACCTCTGGAGGCTGGGCAGTGGTGACACAGCACATTTTTGTTTGCTTGCTTGTTTCTATTTCTCTAACATGCTATTAGTGTCGCCACTTTCTGGGCAGTTCACAATATACAATAAAAACATAGATTAACACACTACAGTATATGAATTCCCAGTGTGGTGTAGTGTATAAAGTGACAGAGTATGGAAAACAGGGTTCAGATTCCCTCTTGGCCATGGATACTCACTGGGGATGTGGAATGGGTAAAACCACTCTTTAAATATCTTGTCGTCGTTTAGTCATTTAGTCGTGTCCGACTCTTCGTGACCCCATGGACCAGAGCACGCCAGGCCCTCCTATCTTCCACTGCCTCCCGGAGTTGTGTCAAATTCATGTTG